CCTGCTGAAACATGGTGAACCATGTGTTCCTTTCCTGGCAGGGGGGTGAGGAGGGAGGAGGCTGGCAAAGCCCATCCACCTGCAACTGAGCTTTCCCAACTCTGGTCTTATGCTGGCCTAGAGGAGGGGGCTGGTGAGCACTGAGTTCAGGCTGTTGGTTCATTCCACTAGTCTGGAATGAGTCATATTGGATCTCAGCCGCTCCGGCCTCATCCCAGCCACCTCTGCTTCCTCTTTTGCTTCTGTTCACCTCTCCAGCACTGAGCAGACTGCAGAACGACTCTTAACAGTATGCCTGAGGCTCAGGCTGGGGCTTCTCAGCTAATGACAGACCATTGGGATGACTCTTTCTGTGACAGAACTAAGAATTTTTTTTTCTACTACCAATGGGAAAATTTGACTGAAAACAAACAAGTATTTTAATTGCATATACTTAAAAGGACTTCAACCTAGTGAAAATTTAGAAGCCACTGCATATAGGTAAACTGCAAAATATTTCAATATAAGAATACATCAGTAGCTCAAATACGCTTACCACAGTACATGACAATTTCCCGTCATGCAGCGGGAGCTCATGGGGGTCACTGACAGCAGGGTATCCATAAAAATATATATATATATATTAGGCATTTAGTCTTTTCAGAGAACTGGAAGGTCTCTGTGAATCAGTCACATCTTTTAAAATAAAATAAAAAAAATGCCCAAAAAACTGCGGCTTCATCTGCTGTGAATAGATATTGTTTACTGCTGAACTGAGAAAAGAATTTGTGGATGGCTTTATCCGTGGCCCTGTCAGGCCAGGCCTTTCTTGAACTACTATCTGGTACCGTGTAAACTAGTACAGCCTGTTCCATGGTCATGTTCTCCATGGTCCCCACCCAGCAACCCAATTTGTTGGTCATTGCATCTGCTATCCCTGTGGCATATTCAGTCATTTGACCTTCTGCCTCTAGACCTCCCAGCTAGCAGTCTGGTCTTTTGATATTGAAACTGCTTCAGCTGTCAGTGGTAGTTGACAGGTTATATTTTGGGCATTCAAGAAGTATCATCAACATATGCTTACATAAATTGGGGTAATCTTAGCTCTTTATTTCAGTTCTAATAGGTATTCAGGGCCAGACACACTGTTGGTGTCAATGAGCAGAACTCCTTTGACTTATTTAACATGCACTAAAATAACATGGTGATTTGTTGAAGGCAACACATTGGTTTCCATCTGATCCATAATGAGGAGGCTGCTGAGGTATCATGGGGCTGTTGTGGTATCATGGGGCTGCTGTATCACCCACCAACAGCATAGTCATTATTTCCCTTGCCTTCTTTTCACGTTAGATTGGTCCTGGTCCTACATGAGACGCTGGGAATTACATCAGCTATTTTCCTAGTATACAATACTCCTCTCAAGACTGCTCTGGGGGAGCCTTTGATTACTTGAACCATGAAAGATTGTTTTGGTCCCTTCAAATACAAAACTGATCTCCAGCTGAAAAACCCTCATATACACTAGGGCTTGCCTACTCGGAGAGAGGCTTATCGCAGGATATTTTATGGAGGACGTGTACAGCAGAGCAGGATTTCCTTGTACTGGTTCAAAGGCTGCAGGACCAGGCTGGAGCTTTCATTTCTCTGGACTTGACAGGAAAAGTCTAAGTGAGTCTTTTTCTAGCTCTCAAATCTTTATTTTGCTTCTTAAAAGATCAGTCTGATTTTTTAATCTCTTGACAGGATTCACAGCTGTATGAAGGAGTGCAAAAGGCAGGGGGTATGCTTGTATGTGAGAGCAGCTTTCCCCAAAGACACGATGAAGTAGCATGGGATATTTTAACACTACTTCTACCTAACCATCTCCATGCTCCTTTGCAGAATGAGGTAGCACTTCTTTCTGCTCCAGTGACTTTTCACCCCACCCTCACATCTTTTACAGAATTGAACCCTTTAATTGTGACACTGTGCTTTTAAATTATTTTGTGGGCTAAAGGATGTCTTGTCCTGCTTTAATACCTGCTTTTCTGGATTCCCTACAGCCTCAGTTAAAACTGCCCTTCTGTCTTCAAGCCAGGAGCAGCATGAGTGACTTCCACAGAAATACTCAGTTTATTAAAGATCATTCATGTAAAAAACAAAACAAAACAAAACAAAAAAAAACAACTGCTTGATTGGAGCTTTATTAAAAATTGGGACTGGGCATCTTTTAATATACATACAATACTTCTATATATATAAGTATTGTATGTATATTACAATACTTGGACAGATACTATGGACAGAATTCTTAGAGAAAATTTTATTTTGTAGAAATTTTTTCACAAAAAATGAAGGTCTATCACATAGGAAAAATTGGAAGTTAAGCACTGATGGGATCAGTTTGGAGATTTGAGGTTCAAAGAGTTTGGACATTAAAAAAAAAACAGCTGCATAATATTTTGTGGCAAATGTGCATGGTCTTAAATAATTTATTAAGTGACAAAAAAGCACAGACATCAAATGTGAAAATGAAATGAGGACACCATCTACCAACACAAGCACTTTGAGGTGAGGTCTTCATTCTCCTTTGTGTTGGTACAGAAGAACAATAGGAGTCCTTGTCAATTTTGACTGCTTTCTGCTCCTATTACAATACAAACATCCCAAGGGTTTCGCCCATTTCTGGCACCCCAGGAGAGAGCTTTCATTGGGAAGTTCCCTAAGCAGGTTTATCATCTCTTGAAATGAAACATAGCAAGACAATTCTGAAAAATAAAACCAAACAACAACAGTACCCCAAACCCTGCCACCTCACCTCAGATAACAGTATTTTAGTTCACTTTTCAAGCTAAAATATTCACATATTGTAGTCTTTGATAGCAGCCTTCTCATGTGTTGTCAAATGTTTTGATATATTATTTTTTTATAACTCTGATTACCAGAACAGAATGTGTTTACATTTGCATGTTACTTAATTGTGTTTTTTCCCACCCCATTTTTACAGCTCACAAAGTGTGGTGTAAATATCAATGGAAAGACAAATCAATGTGACAGAATTTATTCTCCTGGGAATTTCCAGTGACCCATGTCTCCAGATTTTCCTCTTTTTGGTGCTTTTAATCATTTACTTAGTTACCCTAATGGGGAATATGGTGATAATTTTGGTCATTAGGATTGATCCTGAGTTGTGCAACCCCATGTATTTCTTCCTCTCCTGCCTGTCCTGCCTTGATATCTTCTATTCTTCTGTCACCATCCCCCAAATGCTCCAAAACTTGTTGTCGCAAGAGAAAACCATTTCTGCTGTTGGCTGCTTTGCACAGACATTCCTGATTATGTTCTCTGGGTGTACTGAGGGTTTCATGCTATCAGTGATGGCTCATGACCGTTATGTTGCTATATGTGACCCACTGCATTATGTGAGCATCATGAGCAAAAGAGTTCGCATTCAGCTGGTGGGTGGTGCATGTACGAGTTTTTTGCATGCACTGATCAACACGCTACTTCTGTTGAATGTGAATTTCTGTGGGCCCAAGGAAGTCAGCCATTTCATCTGTGAACTCCCTTATCTGCTACCTTTGTCCTGTACTGAGACTTTGGCTAATGATGTGGTTCTTCTCAGTTGTGTTGTAACGTTTGGACTAATGTCCTTCCTCCCTATTATGGTCTCCTACGTTCATATCATCTCCACCATCCTGAGGATATGCTCCACCGAGGGCAGGAGGAAAGCCTTCTCCACCTGCAGCTCCCACTTCATTATGGTGGGTTTGTTGTATGTGTCAGCCCTTGTCCAGTACATGAAATTCAGCTCCACCTCCTCTCTGGTTCTAGATGAACTATTGTCTATCCAGTACAGCATCTTAACCCCCATGTTAAACCCCATCATTTATAGTCTGAAAAATATGGAAGTGCAAAAGGCTGTCATGAAAATACTTGTAAAGTTGAAGTTCCTCAAGTATGCCACTGTACGTGCTCTTCACTAAGTGCCTAATAATGTCATATGAAAGAACTGAACATCAATATCCTGATTGTATATCATGGTTGAGAATGTATATGCATAGAGATGTGATCTGGATCACAAAGGGATCACAAAATTGTCCCTTGTATGTTGGAAAACAGCCCAGCCTGAATACTAGGCCATGAGCTAAGTATCAAGAAGAACATGAAAAAAGGTCTCTTGTAATCCAGGCTCTTCTCTTTCACAGATATTCTCACATGGATACAAACTTCTGGTGGAATTTTGTTGCCCTCTCTGAGTCTAAACAGAAGCTTTCTGGAGATATACATAGCATTTTTGGCACTTATGTGCAGGTAGTGTTTTTCCTTCTGCTACAGCATGAACCTATAATAATATAGTTATATACTTGGTATTTGGTTTGTACCTAAACCCACTACAGGGTCTTTCTTGGGCACCAATTTACAAAAACCCACACAGCTTATACCAGAGCCTCCTGGTTCTCCTCTTTCCCCACTCCCATGACCTCTCACTTCCCTTCTGGGATCCAGACTGTCTCACCATGACCTCAGAGTCTCTGCTGGGCTGCACAAGGCTGGGAGCAGCAAAGAGACTGGGAGGCAGTCACAGTGGGAGACAGCAGTGGAAGATGGCATAGCAGCCCCAGATAGCGGCCAGTTGGAGCCCAAGGTCAAATGCACACTCATTTTACTCATTTTACAGTGGGACAGTGGATGTCACCCATAGCACTCACCCCATCCAAACACCAGTGCTTTGTAGCAAGGGGGAGAGTCACTTTTAGCAAAGGGGACTGAATTCTCAGTCTTGGAGGTCCCAACACCTTCCATCTTCCTTGGTGATCCTTCTGGCCAGGCTAAAGTTGTTGCCATGAGGCCTATGCACAGATTGGGCAGTGTTTGCCAGGAGAGGAGGGTCCTGCACACCCTGAGGGACTCTGTGTTTCATACAGCACCTGCCCCACAGCACAGTCATGGCAGCTGTGGGCCCCAATATGCGTAGAACATGCCAGGGTTTCTGTACATACCAAGTAGCCATGCTGTCACTGTTATTTCCTGAGGCTCTAGTGATTTTAGGTTTATGTTTTGATTGCTCCATGGAAACACCAAGAGGGCTGGCAGGAGTGGTTTTTCCCTTGTTCATTATGTCTCCCATCACTCAGTTCCTAAGGGAACTGAAGCCTACATGATGGAAGCATTTTGCCAAAAGCCAGCTCCATGTGGTTGTGAGGCTGCCCCAGGTAAACCATCCATACCACCTACAGCAGCCTAAGTGGATCCCCTATGGATTTTCAGGGTTTTAGGCCATGTCCACAATGGTGGCTAATTTATTGATCAAGAACCTGAGGGACAGGAGCGAGGAATGGTGAAGTAGCATCAGGTTCCTTGAAAGGAGCTTGGATATGAGACGGTGGAGGAATCAGGAGGGGGCTGAGAACAGGGAGGGGAAGGTGGTGGTGCTGGAAGGAAGATCCCCAGGCTATGGGCAGTACTGGTATAGGAATCCTCTTGGAGCAGACTGTGAGAGAACACATGTCTACCCAGGCTGGTGGGGTTTGGTGTGACCTTGGAGAGGTCATGCTTTTGTGGGGAGGCAGGCGGCTTCCCCCAGTGCCCCAGACCCAGCTAGAAAGCACAGAACGGTACACAGTCATGGGCAGGGATCCTGGTTTTCCCTGATAAAAATTGCAAACCCACCGATACCCCCCCCCCAAATCATTATTAAAATGAAAGGACCCTCACTCCCTACCCCCCACCTCCAACCAGCCCTGTTGGTAATCTTCACTCCTCCACCACGGCCCCATGCACCTGTTCATGCCCCTCTCCCCCACATCCCCCTGGCCCCAATCATGCCCCTCACCTCCCACCTATAGCCCTCTGCCCCCCATCCTTACTGGAGGGCTCGCAGATGCCAAAGCTAGGGGGCCAGGGACATGGGTCCACAGCCTCCTGCCCCAGGCAGGAGCCTATGGCTGCTGCAGTGGAGCAGAGTCCAGCCATCCACCTGCTACCTGCTGTGGGCTCAGTCAGGGGTTCATATCCCTGCTATTTCATGCTCTCCCAGGGGATAAGAGGGATTCATGCCCCCCAGATCTATGTGGGGCTGGGGCAGGATCAGGCTCCCACCCTGCTGTGCTCTTCCAGGGCCTCCACAGCCCAGTGGGTATGAGCCAGCACTGCAGGGCATAGTAGGCTCATGAAGGGAAGCTTCTTGCCTCTGCGAGCTCCACACTGCTGTGGTGATGCGTCCCCTGCATGCATGGCAGCACTGAGGGGCACAACCCCATGCCACCACACCCACCAGTCCTGTGTGTGGAGGGGACACATTTCAAAGGCTATACGGTCAAGAGATATGGTTGTCATGGGTGACCTAAACTACCCTGACATCTGCTGGGAGGAGTAGTCAGCCAAATCTAACTGCTCACATAAGTTCTTAACCTGCATACAGGACCTTCACCTAACACAAGAGGTATATGATCTCACTAGGGAAAACGCCTTCTTGGACTTGGTGTCAGCTACAGGGGATGACCTGGTGGGGAATCTGTAGGTACAAGGTAACCTAGGGGATAGTGACCATCAATTGACTGAATTCAGTATCTGGTGAAGGGTGGGTAAACTAACCAGCAGGGCTGAAGTGCTAGACTTCAGGGAAAAAAAACTAACTTCAGTGTGCTCAGGAAATTGATTAGTTAGGCACTAAAGATCAAGAGCATTGGCAAAATGGGGGTTCAGGAAGGGTGGTTGTTCCTCAAGGGAGCAATCCTACGGGTGCAGAAGGAGACAATTCCATTGCACATAAAAAGGGGCAAAAGGGCCAAGAAGCCCTTTAGGCTGAACATGGAAGTCCAGGAAAGCCTAAGGGCAAAGAAAGAGGTATACAGGCTGTGGAAACAGGGGGTAGCTACTAAGGAGGAGTATATCTCCCTGGCTTGCACTTGTAGGGAATCAGGAAGGCCAAAGTAGGATTGAGGCTGGCGACAAAAATTAAGGACAATAAAAAGTCCTTTTTCAGGTATATAGGGAGCAAAAGGAAGGCACAGGATAGCACAGGACCCCTACAGGACAATATAGAGCAATTGGTGACAGAGAGGGGACAAAGCTGAGCTCTTCAATGAGTTATTTGTATCTGTATTCCTAGACACAGACCAAGATAACTGAATCATAGATAGACACAGGAGGGACACCAGCCCACCAACTGTTAGCTCAGACTTAGTGAAGGGGCATTTGGAGGAGTTGGATGCATTCAAATCAGCAGGCCCAGATGAACTTCATCCAAGGGTGCTGAAGGAATTGGCCGGTGTCATAGCAGAGTCACTGGCACGCCTGTTTGAGTGCTCATGGTGCTCCAGTCAGGTCCCAAAGGAAAGGAAAAGGGCCAATGTGGTCCATATTTTCAAGAAGGGGAGGAGGGTGGAACTGGGAAACTATAGGCCAGTTAGTCTCACCTCTATCCTTGGGAAAACTGGAAAAAATAATTAAGGATCACATTTGTGGGAGCCCAGCAGGGGAAATAATGCTGAAAGGAAATCAGCACAGATTCATTGCAGGTAGTCCTGCCTGATTAACCTTGTTTCTTTTTATGACCAGGTCACAAAATGCTTAGACGCAGGAGTCGAGGTAGGTGTTATCTACCTAGACTTTAAGAAGGCCTTTGATAAAGTATCTCAGTCTGTTCTCATAAATAAACTGACGGGCTGTGATATAGATGATTACACAATCAGGTGGTTGGCAAATTGGCTTGGGGGTTGCACCCAGAGAGTGGTGGTGAGTGAGGCGATATTGATCTGGAAGGATGTGGGCAATGGAGTCCTGCAAGGCTCAGTCCTTAGACCGGTGCTTTTCAATGTCTTCATCAGTGACTTGGACAAGGGTGTGGAGAGCAACCTGTCCAAGTTTGCAGATGATACCAAAGGAGAAAGGCGGGGTGTGGGGGTGAGCTGCAGAGGCTCTGCACATTGCTCTCAAACACATTCCTTTCTCTAATACATCATGAAACAACCCAGATGAAGCAGACTAGAGCATTGGGTTGTTTTCTTTACTTTGTCTAATTGTGTTCTGTTCCTGAGCTCCCAGGCACATAAGAAGTCAGTCTGAGATCCACCATTCCCAATCCCAGTGAGGTGCTGGCATCCATGGAAGTGGAAGCACCTTCTAAAGCTTAGTAGGAAGGGAGAAATCTCTCCACCTACATGGGTTTTAGATTCCCCTAAGATTTTTCCATTCAGGTTTACCTCCAGGCCCTACCCAACCAAACCCATATTCTATAAGGACAGAAACTTATCTGCTGCTGTGGACTGCCCTGGATTTCTCTTCTCTTCCACTTGGACTTCTCTCCTTGATCATCATGTGTGGTGATACTGTAAACTCTTTCCTTTGCTCTGGCTCCAGTGCTTGACTACAAGAACAGGCCTTTCCTCATGTGTTAACAGTGGCTGATCTGACCTCAGTGGTGACCTAACAATGCTAGACTTTGTGCTGGCAGGTGACATCATAGTAGATATCTCACATGGTCTCCCTGTTTTTTTTGTTTTGATTGGTTTCTTGTTTGTGTGTTTCTCCCAGATCTGGGCACTATGGAGTTCATTTACTTTCAGTGGACAAGTCCCTTCCCTATTTGGTTGTGTAAAGAAATCCCTTCCATGCTCACTTGAGTCTTCCATGGGGAAGAGGGAGATGCCTGATGCTTTATCCCCACTGAGCTGGCCTCTTCTTCACTAGGCTTCTGTGTTTGTGGGGGTCATGTGATGTGAGAGATATCAAGGGGCATCCTAGTAACTGCTTTCAGACACAATGTGGTTGTCCATCAGCTTTTCCCGCTCCTTGGAGTTTCAAGAAAATGTCTCTGCCCCAGCTCCCCTCTGGGCCTGATCATACTTATTACAGTCCTCAGCACTCCCCACTCATCCAGCTAACAGGTCTGTTGAGACAAATGAGCCCAGCTCCCTTCAGGTGGGAAGGTGCCTCCTTCCTGAGCCCAAGGGAGAACGGCCACTCTTCAAGATAGGGAGAA